AAACCTCTGTCCAGGAGGACCTAGAAGTGACTTGGAGAACAGAGACTACAAACGTCTGTCCAGGAGGACCTAGAAGTGACTTGGAGAACAGAGACTACAAACGTCTGTCCAGGAGGACCTAGAAGTGACTTGGAGAACAGAGACTACAAGCCTCTGTCCAGGAGGACCTAGAAGTGACTTGGAGAACAGAGACTACAAATGTCTGTCCAGGAGGACCTAGAAGTGACTTGGAGAACAGAGACTACAAACCTCTGTCCAGGAGGACCTAGAAGTGACTTGGAGAACAGAGACTACAAATGTCTGTCCAGGAGGACCTAGAAGTGACTTGGAGAACAGAGACTACAAATGTCTGTCCAGGAGGACCTAGAAGTGACTTGGAGAACAGAGACTACAAATGTCTGTCCAGGAGGACCTAGAAGTGACTTGGAGAACAGAGACTACAAATGTCTGTCCAGGAGGACCTAGAAGTGACTTGGAGAACAGAGACTACAAACCTCTGTCCAGGAGGACCTAGAAGTGACTTGGAGAACAGAGACTACAATTGTCTGTCCAGGAGGACCTAGGAATGAGCATAGATAGGAGAGGTCATAAGTTTTTTGTTATCTTAGAAGCTCACATCATCACAATAACCCATACAACTAATGTGCGTTTTAAAACTCCTTTCTGATAAACCCTGCAGCTTGTTTAAGTCCACTAGTCTACCTCCAACATTTCTCTGTCTTGGGTTTGACTCGATTCAGTAATTTCAATTCACCTGTGAGCAAATTGGATTCTCTCTTCTAGTATTTCCTTCACATATACCAGAAACAGTAATGGTCCCAGCATCGTTCCTTGTTACAGCTCTCCACTATATAAATAACCCATATATAGGAGAGAGAAGCTTATGACAACATTTCGGTCTGACTCGGTCTATTTACAAGTCACAATAACACACAAAGGTGAGGGAGCCAGTGTATGTAGGAGAGGAGGACAGAGACGGGATAAAGAGAGGAAGAAGAAAGAAGTGAAGCAGTGATAGAAGTATTGCTGGTAGTGGAAGTAGTAGTAGTAGTAGTAGTAGTAGTAATGGTAGCAGTAGTGATAATAGTAGTAGCCTGTTTCTGTGTAGTTATTTTTGATTGCTTTCCATTAGGTGTTCTCTGATCCAGTGTAGTGTCTTTCTTATTGTCCCTGACTGCTCCTCATCCTTGTTTTTGGCCCCGTGTCTTGTGGACTAGTGTCAAATATCTTTTTTTTTTTTTTGCTGTTCAGAATTATGCGCAGTTTTCTCGCCCCCACTCATAACCTCTCTCTCTCTCTCTCTCTTCTCTCTCTCTCTCTCTCTCTCTTTATTTCTCTCTCTTTTACACTAAGGTTTTACATGGTAAGTTTACGTTCCTAACTCTATTTACAAGCTAAAAGCTCTTACCTACATCAGCTTATTTTAAATCTTTCTCTCTCTCTCTCCCTCTCTAACTCTCTTGTTTATGTCTGTCTCTATCCCTCCTGTCTCGCTTCTGTTACTTTGTTATGCAACACAAACAGAGTCTTGAAATAAAATATCCCATCTCTAAACCCATGTTGTTTGTCGATTACGTATCTTCTACTTTCCAGCTGCACAACCTGCCATAATTTAAAAATATTATCCATTACTTACATAATATACACATCAGTGATAATAGCAACCTGACTCTCCTGTTCCTGGAATATTAGGATTCAACTCACTGTCTCCCACATCTCTGGCAACCGTCTCCCTTAAACCAGTCTATAAATTTTAGCCAGTAATTAGCACATGCGTCTCCTTCTTTCAGAATTTAAGGCAAAACATTGTTAGATTTTCTCATTTTTGAGTATTTGGCTAAGCTGTTTCTTTACCATATTGTGTATTGAACGTCCAGTAATTATTGACATATGAACATCAATGGTAGACAATACCGACAAGATGGCAAGTTAGACACATGTGCAACATCTGGGTATCTTTACCATGTAGACGTTCCACCATCCATTGGCTTTATCAGTACAACACAGAAGACTGAGGAAGTAAACATGGGGCAATCAGTCCCTCACACTAGAAGCGAAACGTCTCCACAATAAAGACACCCGAGTGTTGAACATGTGTCTAGTTTATTACTGACATATACATCTGGTGTCGATCCTCCGTCAGCCTATACCACCTAAAATACTATTTCTTCATGGTTCTTGGACTGATTAGTACCCATTATCTCTGTATCTGACTGAAGAAGCCTACTGTGCGGGCGAAACGTTTCCACAAACGTCATAACTGTTGCACATGTGTCTTAATCATCACCTCCGTAAGTTGCATATATAGATGTTCGAGATTTTCCTTGCTATACCCCGGGAGTTTTTTCCTGCATTGATCACCTGGTTTTCCTTCTCATGGGATTATATAGCTGTTTGGGTTTGCTGTTTTCCTTCTTGTGGTGCAATGTTACTGACGAAGTGTCTCACTACATCATTGCATCAATCATGGGGAAGCTCTAAACCCATACAAGTCATGCAGTGCCTCGAGGAATGTAGGGTATTCAGGCTTGATTCACGGAACTGGAGTATTTATCCAGTTCCCTGGATCAAGAGCCCCTCACCAGCATCAAGGAACATGTTGTTTTCTTTCTCACTTTTCCCTCCCGTCGATGTTTTTGTCTTATTAATGAAAATACGATACCAGATATATTAAGAAAATTTTCTAAATTTGCTTGTAACAGATAAGTGAACTGTAGATATAAATCCAGATGTTCTCCTGTTAACCCTTTGAGGCCTAGTTTCTAGGCCTATTGTGTATCCATATGTTCTTGTACTACCATCCACAGGATGGATATGAGGTACACAATAAACTAGCCACTACCATCCACAGGATGGATATGAGGTACACAATAAACTAGCCACTACCATCCACAGGATGGATATGAGGTACACAATAAACTAGCCACTACCATCCACAGGATGGATATGAGGTACACAATAAACTAGCCACTACCGTCCACAGGATGGATATGAGGTACACAATAAACTAGCCACTACCATCCACAGGATGGATATGAGGTACACAATAAACTAGCCACTACCATCCACAGCATGGATATGAGGTACACAATAAACTAGCCACTACCATCCACAGGATGGATATGAGGTACACAATAAACTAGCCACTACCATCCACAGGATGGATATGAGGTACACAATAAACTAGCCACTACCATCCACAGGATGGATATGAGGTACACAATAAACTAGCCACTACCATCCACAGGATGGATATGAGGTACACAATAAACTAGCCACTACCATCCACAGGATGGATATGAGGTACACAATAAACTAGCCACTACCATCCACAGGATGGATATGAGGTACACAATAAACTAGCCACTACCATCCACAGGATGGATATGAGGTACACAATAAACTAGCCACTACCATCCACAGGATGGATATGAGGTACACAATAAACTAGCCACTACCATCCACAGGATGGATATGAGGTACACAATAAACTAGCCACTACCATCCACAGGATGGATATGAGGTACACAATAAACTAGCCACTACCATCCACAGGATGGATATGAGGTACACAATAAACTAGCCACTACCATCCACAGGATGGATATGAGGTACACAATAAACTAGCCACTACCATCCACAGGATGGATATGAGGTACACAATAAACTAGCCACTACCATCCACAGGATGGATATGAGGTACACAATAAACTAGCCACTACCATCCACAGGATGGATATGAGGTACACAATAAACTAGCCACTACCATCCACAGGATAGATACTTTTGCACTTTTGTTGACGGTTTCTCTCTTTGATATACTTTGAAGAGTTTAGAGAGTCTTTCTACTCACGGAGCCTGTCCAGGAGCCAGGCTCGTCTCGTTCTAGCCTGGTTAGTCAGGCTGTTGCTGCTAGAGGCCCGCTGGCCCACATATCCATCACAGCGGGGTTAATTTGGAACCTGGTGAAGATATTTGTCCAGTTTCCTCCGGAAGATTTCTACACTTGTTCCAGCAGTGTTTCTGATATCTTGAGGACTTCTAAACTTGTTCCAGCAGTGTTTCTGATATCTTGAAGACTTCTAAACTTGTTCCAGCAGTGTTTCTGATATCTTGAAGACTTCTACACTTGTTCCAGCAGTGGTTCTGATATCTTGAAGACTTCTGCACTTGTTCCAGCAGTGGTTCTGATATCTTGAAGACTTCTGCACTTGTTCCAGTAGTGTTTCTGATATCTTGAAGACTTCTACACTTCTTCCAGCAGTGTTTCTGATATCTTGAAGACTTCTACACTTGTTCCAGCAGTGTTTCTGATATCTTGAAGACTTCTACACTTGTTCCAGCAGTGTTTCTGATATCTTGAAGACTTCTACACTTGTTCCAGCAGTGTTTCTGATATCTTGAAGACTTCTACACTTGTTCCAGCAGTGTTTCTGATATCTTGAAGACTTATACACTTGTTCCAGCAGTGTTTCTGATATCTTGAAGACTTCTACACTTGTTCCAGCAGTGTTTCTAATACCTTGAAGACTTCTACACTTGTTCCAGCAGTGTTTCTGTTATCTTGAAGACTTCTACACTTGTTCCAGCAATGTTTCTCATATCTTGAAGACTTATACACTTGTTCCAGCAGTGTTTCTGATATCCAGAAGACTTCTGCACTTGTTCCCGCAGTGGTTCTGATATCTTGAAGACTTCTACACTTGTTCCAGCAGTGTTTCTGATATCTTGAAGACTTCTACACTTGTTCCAGCAGTGTTTCTGATATCTTGAAGACTTATACACTTTTTCCAGCAGTTAGATGTATTCTTGCTGATACATCCTATCTCTATTTCCTTGTTCAGTAACACAAACAATAATTAACAATGGTATCCCTCCAGGGCTAGCAATACCGAGATGGTAGAGCGTAGGACTCTCAGTTTATAGACCGCGGTTCACTCACCCCAGTCCATTCTACTATTCATTCACCTCAAGAATAACTTTATATTTCTCGCCTGCAGGAGAGACAGTGCTGGCACTGAGTGGGGTCACTACTTCGGGCAGACAGCAGTGTGTGATGGTAGTTTATGTGGACCTTTCTGAAGAGAGTGAGGCCATCATGCTGGGTGACCTGCCGCTACCTCACGGTACCTATAACACCACCATTTCCACTTCCAGGACTACTGTCTCCTGCCTCGGTGTCATCAATATAGGGCATCGGCGCCGTCTTCTACCAAACACAAGTGGGTTTCCAGACTTGTAAAAACAGTAATAACACGAGAGTAAACTCAGATACGGACAAGACTCAAGCCTACGAGATTAAGTCATTAATAGGTCTAATGGTTGAGGACTCGACCCTACGAGACTTCAGTCTTAAATCGGTCTAATGATTGTGGTTCAGGACTCGATCCTACGAGACTCCAGTCTTAAGTCGGTCTTATGACTGTGGTTCAGGACTCGACCCTACGAGACTCCAGTCTTAAATCGGTCTTATGACTGTGGCTCAGGACTCGACCCTACGAGACTCCAGTTTTAAATCGGTCTTATGACTGTGGCTCAGGACTCGATCCTACGAGACTCCAGTTTTAAATCGGTCTTATGACTGTGGTTCAGGACTCGATCCTACGAGACTCCAGTCTTAAATCGGTCTTATGACTGTGGTTCAGGACTCGATCCTACGAGACGCCAGTCTTAAATCGGTCTTATGACTGTGGTTCAGGACTCGATCCTACGAGACTCCAGTTTTAAATCGGTCTTATGACTGTGGCTCAGGACTCGATCCTACGAGACTCCAGTTTTAAATCGGTCTTATGACTGTGGTTCAGGACTCGATCCTACGAGACTCCAGTCTTAAATCGGTCTTATGACTGTGGTTCAGGACTCGATCCTACGAGACGCCAGTCTTAAATCGGTCTAATGATTAATATCTTAATATAGATTTGAAAAAATTTATTAAAATCTATAAGACTTTGGGCTTTTAATCAAAAATATCTTAATTCTAGTCATAATATTGATTTTTTTAAATACAGTAGAGAATATGAACGACTATAACATACAGTAGAGAATATGAACGACTATAACATACAGTAGTGAATATGAACGACTATAACATACAGTAGAGAATATGAACGACTATAACATACAGTATAGAATATGAACGACTATAACATACAGTAGAGAATATGAACGACTATAACATACAGTAGAGAATATCGCAAGTATTTTGGTTTATTACCAAAATATTTGTTTTATTTTCTGTTGTTAAATGCGGTTTAATTCTCTTAACTATTCACACATACACAGTGTATGGTACCATTAATTTTATGGTACTTAGACACACACAGTGTATGGTACCACCAGTGTATGGTACCACCAGTGTATGGTACCACCAGTGTATGGTACCACCAGTGTATGGTACCACCAGTGTATGGTACCACCAGTGTATGGTACCACCAGTGTATGGTACCACCAGTGTATGGTACCACCAGTGTATGGTACCACCAGTGTATGGTACCACCAGTGTATGGTACCACCAGTGTATGGTACCACCAGTGTATGGTACCAACAGTGTATGGTACCACCAGTGTATGGTACCACCAGTGTATGGTACCACCAGTGTATGGTACCACCAGTGTATGGTACCACCAGTGTATGGTACCACCAGTGTATGGTACCAACAGTGTATGGTACCACCAGTGTAATGGTACCACCAGTGTATGGTACCACCAGTGTATGGTACCACCAGTGTATGGTACCACCAGTGTATGGTACCACCAGTGAAATGGTACCACCAGTGTATGGTACCACCAGTGTATGGTACCACCAGTGTATGGTACCACCAGTGTATGGTACCACCAGTGTATGGTACCACCAGTGTATGGTACCACCAATGTATGGTACCACCAGTGTATGGTACCTACCAGTGTATGGTACCACCAGTGTATGGTACCACCAGTGTATGGTACCACCAGTGTATGGTTCCAACACTGTATGGTACCAACACTGTATGGTACCAACACTGTATGGAAACCCAAACACTGTATAGTACCAACACTGTATGGTAACCAACACTGTATAGTACCAACACTGTATGGTACCAACACTGTATGGTATCAACACTGTATGGTACCAACACTGTATGGTACCAACACTGTATGGTACCAACACTGTATGGTACCAACACTGTATGGTACCAACACTGTATGGTACCAACACTGTATGGTACCAACACTGTATGGTAACCAACACTGTATAGTACCAACACTGTATGGTAACCAACACTGTATAGTACCAACACTGTATGGTACCAACACTGTATGGTACCAACACTGTATGGTAACCAACACTGTATAGTACCAACACTGTATGGTACCAACACTGTATGGTATCAACACTGTATGGTACCAACACTGTATGGTACCAACACTGTATGGTAACCAACACTGTATGGTACCAACACTGTATGGTATCAACACTGTATGGTACCAACACTGTATGGTACCAACACTGTATGGTACCAACACTGTATGGTACCAACACTGCATGGTACCAACACAATATGGTACCAACACTGTATGGTACCAACACTGTATGGTACCAACACTGCATGGTACCAACGCAATATGGTACCAACACAATATGGTACCAACACTGTATGGTACCAACACTGCATGGTACCAACACAATATGGTACCAACACTGTATGGTACCAACACTGTATGGTACAAACACTGTATGGTACCAACACTGTATGGTACCAACACTGTATGGTACCACCAGTTTATGGTTCCAACACTGTATGGTACCAACACTGTATGGTACCAACGCTGTATGGTACCAACACTGTATGGTACCACCAGTGTATGGTACCACCAGTGTATGGTACCAACACTGTATGGTACCAACACTGTATGGTACCAACACTGTATGGTTCCAACACTGTATGGTACCAACACTGTATGGTACAAACACTGTATGGTTCCAACACTGTATGGTACAAACACTGTATGGTACCAACACTGTATGGTACAAACACTGTATGGTTCCAACACTGTATGGTACCAACACTGTATGGTACAAACACTGTATGGTTCCAACACTGTATGGTACCAACACTGTATTGTACCAACACTGTATGGTACAAACACTGTATGGTTCCAACACTGTATGGTACCAACACTGTATGGTACCAACACTGTATGGTTCCTCGACATTATAAAATTTCTATACACAAAGCATGTTTACCTCAACATTAGTGATAATAAACACAGATAAAACACGTCAAAGAAGAAGGTAAGTGTTTTGTAACATTAATCTCAAGACAAGCAACAAAACGAGTCTTCTCAGTCACTGTCTCCACCTACACCAAGATTGATAGTTTTGATGATGCCATAGGGCGAAACGTCTTGGAAAAAGCTCGTTCTGTAATGTGTAATTTATAATCCTAGTTTGTATTGGTTTGTAGAATTATCGACAATATGTTAAGTAAAAGGACACAAGTGCAACTAATGTGATATTTTATTGTGACAACGTTTCGCTCTCCAGGAACTTTATCAAGCAGTAGCGATTTGATAAAACTCCTGGAGAGCGAAACGTTGCCACAGTAAAATGTCACATTAGTTGCCACTCGATTCAGTCAGCATTACATTCGTTAAAGAATTAGACAAGGGATCTATACTTGTAGATGTTTCGCCCTGGAAAACACTTTCCCAGATTCTGGGGACCCACAAACTGAAAAAAAAGAAGAATATTGTCCTAACTAAACCTCATGAAACACCACTGCATCCCACTGACACAGCTAACAAGATAAACGACTTCTTCTCAAACATAGGATCTAATCTTACCAGTAAAATCCCACGTACCAATGCCCATGCCGGGGACTACCTAGATGAGAATTTCACAAATTCCTTCTATCTTGTATCAACTGAGCCCACCGAAGTCACCGCGATCATAAAGTCGCTTAAAAATAACTTGGGGGATCTGTCTCACATCCCACCATTATTGTACAAGAGAGCGGCCCATGTCCTTTCGCATGCTATTACATTACTTTTTAACAAGTCACTAGAAACTAGCACCTTCCCGACACTACTCAAGACAGCAAGGGTTACACCAATACATAAAGGTGGTGACCCTACAGACGTAAACAACTATAGGCCAATATCAAACTTACCATTGTTATCCAAAATCTTTGAGAAACTCGTGCACAGGAGACTATATTCATTTATAACGGCTCAAAACATACTCAACCCCTGCCAATTTGGATTCAGGAAAAATAAAAGCACTAATGATGCAATTATAAAAATGCTAGACCTGCTTTACACAGCATTGGAAAATAAGGAATATCCGCTACGAATTTTTATTGACCTAAGAAAAGCTTTTGACACAGTAGACCACGACATCCTATTCCACAAACTTGACCACTATGGTATAAGAGGCCATGCGCTTGCATATTTTAAATCCTACCTTACTAATAGGTATCAGTATGTCACCATTAAAGACACAGCCTCATCAATACGGCCACTTGATACTGGAGTTCCGCAGGGAAGTGTCCTTGGACCCCTGCTCTTCCTCATTTACATCAATGATCTTCCAAACATATCCCAACACCTGAAACCCATTCTCTTTGCTGACGACACGACTTATGTCATCTCTCACCCTAATCTTGCCACCTTCAACACCATTGTTAACGAGGAGCTGATCAAAATATCGACTTGGATGACAGCCAATAAACTTACACTTAACACTGGCAAAACCTACTGTATTATGTTTGGTAGCAGAGCAGGAGTTGCACAACTTAACATTAAGATCGACAACACTCTAATTGCCAGACATAATGAGGGCAAATTCCTTGGCCTATACCTCGACAACAACCTAAATTTCAGCACCCATATCCAACACATAACAAAAAAAGTATCCAAAACGGTGGGGATCCAACTCCAAGATACGATACTACGTACCGCAAATTGCCCTTCTCACACTACACCATTCACTTATATATCCATACCTCACCTATGCTATCTGTGCTTGGGGTTCAACTGCAGCAACACACCTAAAGCCAATAATAACCCAACAAAAAGCTGCAGTAAGAATAATCACTAAATCCCATCCCTGGCAACCCCCCCCCCCACTCTTCATAGATCTAAACTTACTTCCTGTTCAGAACATCCACACTTACTACTGTGCAATCTACATCTACAGGACCTTAAATTCCAATATTAACCTTGACCTAAAACGCTTTCTTGATAGTTGTGACAGAACCCACAGGCATAACACTAGACACAAACATCTCTATGACATTCCCCGTGTTCGACTAAACCTTTACAAAAATTCAATGTATTTCAAAGGACCTAAAATCTGGAACACTCTACCTGAGAACTTTAGAACTGCAGACACACTCATCACCTTCAAAACTACAGTTAGAAAACATCTTATCTCCCTGATCCACCCCGACAACTAACTAATTACATGATAACCACCTGGTGGTTCACACTTACACTCACTCACCCACTGACTATAAACACAGAAATACTAATCTTAATCTTAAAATAATAAATCCTAACTAGTCATAAGTTTGCCTATGATACTCCATTATAGACACTTTGTATTGTGCCAAAACAAAAGCATTCACATTGCTAAACTCACAAATTATGATGTAGTCACTTAGCCTTAATACCATAATCTGTAAGGATTTAATGTTAAGAATTAATCTAAGTCTGCTGGAAATACCTAGCCATGCTAGGTGTCCTAGTGGCCCCCTCTGTAATGCCTAGCCATGCTAGGTGTCCTAGTGGCCCCCTCTGTAATTAGTATTTTATAACATGTAAACCACACAATACCCAAAACCTGTAAACCCCACATTGTAACCCTTATAGAGAATAAACTTGAAGTGAATTATAAACACAAGTAGAAGACATTGTAAATATGTATAGTTCCTGGGCTGAGGGACTGATTACCTATCATCTACTGACTGCTGTATATGACTCTCGTGTCTTAGTTTCGTGTTCTTATATTGCACTGATAAAGCCACTGGATGGCGAAACGTCTAAAAGATACCCAGATGTTGCACGTATCTAATTCTTCAGTTTGCTTGTATTGCATACCACTGATATACAGTATATTAGCAAAAGAATTAACTATGTCAAAAATTGTATGCAAATATTCTGAAATGTCGAAATATTCTGTAATATATATTTTATTTTTTCTGTATAATTTTTAAAAATATATATTTAAAATTATAGAAAAAATATGCTACATCATTATTTTATTATTGTCATATAACTCCTGTGTAATGATTCGTTAGTCCTTAGTGGGTAACTATGTCGTTTATTACATTAGGGAGCTACCCATGGAACGAAGCCAGAAGTCGGAACCGGAGAGTGGGTGGAACGGACCTGGGTCAGGTAGTTGAGGAACCCAGTGGAACAAACATTGGCCAGCCAGTCAAAAACTGGTATAGTACGATGCAGGGCCGGCCAATGATGAGTTGGGGTAGACTGGACCAGTTTCAGACAGTGATGAACTGGAGTAGAACGACCCCTGTTCAACCAGTGAGGAACTGGAGTAGGACGACCCCTGTTGAACCAGTGAGGATCTGGAGTAGAACGACCCCTATTCAACCAGTGAATAACTGGAGTAGAACGACCCCTGGTCAACCAGTGAGGAACTGGAGTAGAACGACCCCTGTTCAACCAGTAAGGAACTGGGGTAGAATAAACCCGATTCAGTTGGTCACAAGCCAATACAGAACGAACCCGGTGCATCCAGTAACGAGCCGGGGACGAGCAGACCCAGACCAACCAGCACCTCGAAAGGGCAGAAGAGATCTGGACCAGCCACTGGAAGACATCGTACTGGGCGCTGACGATAGTGTCTCCGATGGATCAAGGTGTCCTTGCTGTAGTTGCTACGACCACAATCATACCTACTTCAACGACTCAGCTCTCCTCCAGTTTGCCTACACTGTGAACGACACTTGTGACAACAGCTGCTACGGTAAGAATACCTTCCCTTCTACCTCTCTTACACGAATAATCCAAACACAGATCGACTTGTAAATAGTACAAGTCGGACCGAAACGTCGTGGTAAGCTCCTCTCTCCTATATGCAAGTTATTTGTGTGTTGTTCCAGTCATGGTATTGTGCCTCTTTTTTCTAGTTTCTTATTCCAAATTAGAAATAAAATACATGTTAATTATGACAAATGGGAAAAAAAACATACGTGAAATTCTTTATTAAATCTTCCAGTATATATACATTGCATTACGAGTTTATATAGTCGTAATAATACTCGGTAATAACTCACACGGAGACTAACTCAAAAGATTGATTGATCAATGTATTTCGATCCTCTTCCGGGATCCTCTTCTGTGGAGGACGACCCCAGAAAGGGTCGAAATATACAGGTGAATCATTCTCCTGTCCTTCTGTCTCCTTTTGGGTCACTAGTGAGCACTGACAAGTTATTCACTGGTAATAATTTTGGTAGAATTACCGACAGTATGTTAGGTACAAGGACACAAGTGCAACTAATGTGACATTTTATTGTGGCAACGTTTCGCTTTCCAAAAGCTTGATAAAGCTCCTGGAGAGCGAAACGTTGCCACAGTATAATGCCGCATTAGTTGAACATGTATCTTGTTACCTAAGTCTTCATACTCGCTCGTCACTATGTATGTAGAATTATGCGACTTATTGTGGCTTATGTGCGTAAAATATTTCGGCTATCTGTGCCCAGTTTAAAATTACTTAGGATATGAAACCATTCAGGATGAAACGAAACGTATCAGCACACAGTTATGTCATCAGTCCAATACATGAAGAACGGTAGAAAAACAAGAAGAGTGTGAGGTAATCAGTCCCTAAGACTGGAGTCGATGTGTTTAGTTCATCTAGAAAGTTCAGTATATGCTCGGAGAAGTGGTTTATGTACTGTAGTCAGTGGATTGAAAAAAACTATACCACGGGCGGGGTTAGAACCCGCGATCAGAGCCTCGAGCCTCAAAACACCAGACCGTCGCGTTAGCCACTGGACCAGCTAGCCACTGGACCAGCTAGGGACTGGACCAGCTAGGGACTGGACCAGCTAGGGACTGGACCAGCTAGCCACTGAACCAGCTAGCCACTGAACCAGCTAGCCACTGGACCAGCTAGCCACTGGACCAGCTAGCCACTGGACCAGCTAGCCACTGGACCAGCTAGCCACTGGACCAGCTAGCCACTGGACCAGCTAGCCACTGGACCAGCTAGCCACTGGACCAGCTAGCCACTGGACCAGCTAGCCACTGGACCAGCTAGCCACTGAACCAGCTAGCCACTGGACCAGCTAGCCACTGAACCAGCTAGCCACTGGACCAGCTAGCCACTGAACCAGCTAGCCACTGGACCAGCTAGCCACAACAAGCTCCATCTAGCTGGCCCAGTGGCCAATGCGACGGTCTGGAGTTTTGAGACTCTCTGATCGCGGGTTCAAACCCCACCCGTGGTATGGTTTGTTTACAATCGTGTCATTACGACTTCGTGAGTCAGTGACTTGAAGCAGCAGGAGGCGGAGTCACAGTGGAACCATCCACTCCGCCTCCTGCTGCTTCCACTCACCTGACTACAGTATATAAGCCACTTCTCCCACCATATGTGGGAGAAGTGGCTTATATACTGTAGTATATAAGCATATGGTATATACTGTAGTATATACAGCATATGGTCACATCGATTACAGGCTGAGGGACTGATGCCTCAAACTCCTTTATTTCCACCGTTCTTCTCTGTACTGGACTGATGAAGACTGGCGATACGTTACCTTGAAGATTCTAATATGTTGCACAAGTTTCTCATTCTTCAGTTTAGTGATTTATCGCATTAATGAATCTTGTGATGTGATGTCACTGATAATGAATGAATCTTGTGATGTGATGTCACTGATAATGAATCTTGTGATGTGATGTCACTGATAATGAATGAATCTTGTGATGTGATGTCACTGATAATGAATGAATCTTGTGATGTGATGTCACTGATAATAAATGAATCTTGTGATGTGATGTCACTGATAATGAATCTTGTGATGTGATGCCACTGATAATGAATGAATCTTGTGATGTGATGTCACTGATAATGAATGAATCTTGTGATGTGATGTCACTGATAATTAATGGATCTTGTGATGTGATGTCACTGATAATTAATGGATCTTGTGATGTCACTGATAATTAATGAATCTTGTGATGTGATGTCACTGATAATTAATGGATCTTGTTGTTATGTGATGTCACTGATACTCAATTAATGGATCTTGTTGTGATGTGATGTCACTGATAATTAATGGATCTTGTTGTGATATGATGTCACTGATAATTAATGGATCTTGTTGTGACGTGATGTCACTAATACCCTGATTTTCTCTAAGCAGATGTGAATCTGAAGTTGTACAAGATAGTGGACGCCCATAATGGCAGCGAGTGCACCTCGTACCACAGACACGACATTTTCCATCCCATCACACGACAACCCAGGAATATTTCCGAGGTTAGTTGACAGCATCAATTAACAGCTTCGGAAAAATGTGTTGAAGAACAGTTTATTGAGTTGGAGTTGGTGGAGATTCGGATTTTTTAAGACTACGATACTCTTCACCAACTCCAATGCTGAGGGACTGATTACCTCGTTTTTTGTAAATAATTCTACAGTCTGACTTGACTCAAGAAATCGTAATGACACGATTGCAAACAAACCATACCCCCGGCCGGGATTGAACCCGCGGTCATAGAGTCTCAAAACTCCAGCCCGTCGCGTTAGCCACTAGACCAGCTAGCCACAATAAGATTCATCCAACTAGGTATATTTCTACACCATAGGAAGGTTAGCACAGGCACCTCTGTGACCACAAATGCAAGTTTTTACAGACGAATCTCCAGCTAGCGTGGCCGTGACGAACTCTAGCTCAAGTCCCATCACTGCCGTCAACGCGACGGGCTGGAGTTTTGAGACTCTATGACCGCGGGTTCAATCCCGGCCGGGGGTATGGTTTTTTCTACAGTCTCCCCAATACTCTCTTGAATTTGTGTCGATAAAGCCACTGGATGGATATATCCAGATATTCAGATGTTGTACGTGCGTTTGATTCCTTATAACACTGTTTTATACTGGGATATACCCAGTTAGCTGTCTCTGACAGTCTGACGCAGGTAATCACTAATGCCTGTATCGGATTTAGATGTTCTACGGCACGTTTAATGATATTTTCTGAGTGTTGGATCATAGACACGGTGTGAGCACTCTTGGAGCAGCGCCAGTACCTCCTTCTCCAGCACCTCTTAAACCAGCACCTCCTCCACCAGCACCTCCTTTTCCAGCACCTCCTCCTTCAGCGCCTCCTCCACCAGCACCTTCTCCTCCAGCACCTTCTCCTCCAGCACCTTCTCCTCCAGCACCTCCTCCTTCAGCATCTCCTCCACCAGCACCTCCTCCTCTTGGACCTCCTCCTCCAGTACCTCCTCCTCTTGGACCTCCTCCTCCAGCACCTCCTCCTCCAGCACCTCCTCCTCCAGTACCTCCTCCTAAAGCACCTCCTCCTCCAGCCCCCTCCTCCCCAGCACCTCCTAATCCAGCACTTCCTCCTCCAGCACCTACTCCTTCAGCACCTCCCCCACCAGCACCTCCTCCACCTGCACCTCCTCCTCCAGCACCTCCAAGTTTGATTAGAATATTTTCAAAATGGTTAGTTGTATGATGACCCACCACTGGAGCTTTTGGTCATCTGACAGAGACCTTCCACTGGCTTTAAAAATAATAGTTATATTTAAAACCATTATTATAATTTTTACAAAAGGAGATGTCAAATAAATTCCATTATTATCTTATATTGTTACTTAAGATATGATGTAAATAACTTTACGATGTTTAAGTAACTTTATCAAGTTTATCGACTTAATTAAACTTCTGCTTGTGATCTCGTGGGTAATAAAGATATCTACTGAGTGGGACATCGTGGTTAATAAAGACAGTCATTGTGTGGGACATCGTGGTTAATAAAGACAATCATTGTGTGGGACATCGTGGTTAATAAAGACAGTCATTGTGTGGGACATCGTGGTTAATAAAGACAGTCATTGTGTGGGACATCGTGGTTAATAAAGACAGTCACTGTGTGGGACATCGTGGTTAAAAAGACAGTCACTTTTGGGGGAACATCGTGGTTAATAATGACAGTCACTGTGTGGGACATCGTGGTTAATAATGACAGTCACTGTGTGGGACATCGTGGTTAATAAAGACAGTCATTGTGTGGGACAAACACTGTGGTAATAAAGGTGTCCACTGTACCCAAGTGTTACTCACAGGAGATGGAATTTACCTGGAGAGGTTTTCGGGGGTCAACGCCCCTGCGGTTCGATCTGAGACCAGGCCTCATGGTGGACCAGTAGGCAGCTGTAGTGCTTCTCAATTCTTATTTTGGATGTTGAGTTTTGCTTTTGAGAAGGACCTGCCTAGCATGGGCCAGTAGACTACAGTGCTCGTCCACTCTTCATGTTCTTGTGAATCAGTTGGAATTCCGACTGTTTATCACTGTTGGGGACAGATTGGTCTGAGCTGTGGGAGTTTAGGGAGTCCCGTAGCTAGGTTGGTAGCGCACTCACCTCACAGATTGAGATCCATGGGGTTCGATCACCAGTACGGGTGGAAACATAAGTATGTGTTTTCTTAAGGCAACTGCTATCATGTTCACCTAGCAGTAAGTAGGTACCTGGGTGTTAGTGGACTGGTGTGGGTGGCATCCTGGGGACAAAATTAACCCAAGTTGCAGGAAATGCTGTATAAGTTGTATCATGTACTGCTAGAAATAAACATTATTATTATTATTATTATTATTATTATTATTATTATTATTATTATTATTATTATTATTATTTAGTGAAGACGTGTCCAGTGGACACAGGTTAGGCTACTCAAAATTAGACTTTTCTGTCCCATACTAATCAGGTTCCCATGAACACAATTAACAACACAGAGAGAAACTCAGACTTGTTCTGTATTAACAAATAACCCTCAGGAGACTGATACTTAGGACGACGTTTCGGTCCTATTTGGACCATTAATAAACAACCTATGCTCGTGGAACAAAGGCGAGACAGTTATATTATTATTCACACCAGAAAAATTCTATGGGGACCAAGACTCTTCAACAGTCTCCCTTCATAGATGAGAGGATTACGAACAAACCCGTAATGGCTTTCAAATGGAAACTTAATATACTCTTCAAGTTCCTGATGAACCAGGCTGTGGTGCCTACGTTTGACTGCATGTAGCTAGCACCAACAGCCTTGCTGATTAGCCAACCCACCAGGATTCCCGATCTGGGGGACAGACTACCCGAGCATTGACCCCGAAGTCGTCTTCAGGTAATTTTTATGTAAAAACTGAGGAAATAAACGCACAGATGACTTAATAGAGGCGGAAAAAACTCCCATGATCTTGTGGTAAGGATGTCAGGACCTTGAGCGGTGTTAAGCACGGGTTTTATAGCTCTTCTGAAACCGGTATCTCAAGGAGAGTGTTGAAGGTTCACCTTAGACTCGTGATTTTATCTCATTCTTCACCAGCCTCGCCACTAGTATTGTCAGTAGTGTTACTGTGTGCTTGTGTAGTGTACTCAGATAATCTCAGCTACTTTCTAGAGAGGTTCCCTTCTTGATCTCATTCTTTGCCAGCCTCGCCAACATTATTTAATACCACAGGTTAGCCACCGTCGTCAGTAACAAAATCAACAACACCACCAACACCAAAACTAAAGCCATTACCCAAAGTAGAACCATCACCACTACAACCACTACTACACCAGTCCACTAACAAACCCCGGATGTGACCCACACCAGTCCGCTAACACCCAGGATGTGACCCACAAAGTCCACAACACCCAGGATGTGACCACACAAGTCCACTAACACCCAGATGTGACCCACCCAGTCCCCTAACACCCCGGATGTGACCCACACAAGTCCACTAACACCCAGGATGTGACCCACACAAGTCCACTAACACCCAGGATGTGACCCACACCATCCAATAACACCCCGGATGTGACCCCCACAAGTCCACTAACACCCAGGATGCGACCACACCCGCCCACAACACCCCAGGATGTGACCCACACCAGTCCACTAACACCCAGGATGTGACCCACACCATCCACTAACACCAGGATGTGACCCACACCCGTCCACTAACACCCAGGATGTGACCCACACCATCCACTAACACCCAGGATGTGACCCACACCAGTCCACTAACACCAGGATGTGACCCAACAAGTCCACTAACACCCAGGATGCGACCCACACCAGCCCACTAACACCCAGGATGTGGGCCCCCACCAGTCCACTAACCCCAGGATGTGACCCACACCATCCACTAACACCCCGGATGTGACCCACACCAGTCCACTAACACCCAGGATGTGACCCACACCAGTCCACTAACACCCAGGACGTGACCCACACCAGTCCACTAACACCCAGGATGTGACCCACACCAGCCCACTAACACCCAGGATGTGACCCACACCAGTCCACTAACAACCAGGATGTGACCCACACCAGTCCACTAACACCCAGGGTGTGACCCACCCAGTCCACTAACACCCAGGATGTGACCCACACCAGTCCACTAACACCCAGGATGTGAACCACACCAGTCCACTAACACCCAGGATGTGACCCACACCAGTCCACTAACACCCAGATGTGACCCCAACCATCCACTAACACCCAGGGTGTGACCCACACCAGTCCACTAACACCCAGGATGTGACCCACACCAGTCCACTAAAACCCAGGATTTTGACCCACACCGTCCACTAACACCAGAATGTGGGCCCACACCCGTCCACTAAACACCCAGGATGTGACCCACACCAGTCCACTAACACCCAGGATGTGACCCACACCAGTCCACTAACACCCAGGATGTGACCCACACCAGTCCACTAACACCCAGGATGTGACCCACACCAGTCCCTAACACCCAGGATTGACCCACACCAGGGCCACTAACAAACCCGGATGTGACCCACACCAGTCCAATAAACCCAGGATGTGACCCACACCAGTCCCCTAACACCCAGGATTGAACCACACCAGTCCCTAACACCCAGGATGTGACCCACACCATCCACTAACACCCAGGATGTGACCCACACCAGTCCACTAACACCCAGGATGCGACCCACACCAGTCCACTAACACCCAGGATGTGACCCACACCAGTCCACTAACACTCAGGATGTGACCCACACCAGTCCACTGACACCCAGGGTGTGACCACACCAGTCCACTAACACCCAGGATGTGACCCACACCAGTCCACTAAACACCCAGGATGTGACCCACACCAGTCCACTAACACCAGGATGCGACCCCCACCAGTCCACTAACACCCAGGATGTGACCCACACCAGTCCACTAACACTCAGGGTGTGACCCACACCAGTCCACTAACACCCAGGATGTGACCCACACCAGTCCACTAAC